AAGAGAAGAGAAGAGAAGAGAAGAGAAGAGAAGAGAAGAGAAGAGAAGAGAAGAGAATACGTCTTCCCGAACAATCTGGTTGTCTTGTTTCAAACTCGACGGACTGCGCAGAATGTACCGGATCAAAGCGTGAGCTCTTAGCATCGTCTTCGACATGAGTACCGTGCGCAGCTCACTCCAGTGAAGTCGTTTCATGACATGGTCCAGCGCTGGAAGCTGACTTTGCCAAGCTCTGATTACTGAAGAACCGCTCGGTGGTACTGCATAAGCGGTGACCGCGTGCTTTGAGCCATTTGACCAACTAAACTCACACGCAACTTTTGCGCATAGAACCTGGCAAATGAACGTCCGACCCTTCCACAAAAACCCGTAGCCCAGACGGTACAGATCCATCCCGTTCTGATTTGTGCATCGTATGCTGCGCTGTCGATCCCCCAGTATTAGTATTGCTGTACTACCAAGCTCCATTTGTTGGATAAAATCCTGTGCTATGATGAGTAATACCTGCTGCGGTACAAGTTGCCCAGTCTGACCTTGCAGCGTGTCTTCATGTCCCATGCGCATGCTACCCGTATACACTACCTTGGCCACCGCTTTGACTCATAGGCGAGTTGCCTAATGTGTCGATGTGCATCAGTGTACTCCATAGGCCGTAAAGTGACATACCACAATCAAATGTTCTAAGATTTGCTCGTCTTCATATCGCTTGCCTTGCGAGGCCTCTATCTGCGACATCATTTTTTGGAGGTCGAGGAGCGCTGTGAGGTTCCTTGCTTTGGCATCATCGACACTTCCGTGAGTGGTCAGCGTGATATTCAAATTACTAGCAAGGCTGCAAAATATATTGTCGACGTCGTAACTGGCTAGAGGCGATGCGGGGCCACATGAGCCCATAAACCGCTGAGAAGACATAGTGCACAGCAAAAACGAAAGTCCGGAAATGATAATAGTGAGGTTCTTAGCTTGATATATTGTGTTTTTTGGAGCCTATTCTGTGACGTCGTTTCTGAGCGCGATCATGTCACGCCATCGTGGGCGCGAGCATAAGATGTCTTCATACGGTCCAGCAATCTGCTTGCGCAACAATTGCTTTAAGCCGTTTTTCTAATGAGAAGTAATATAGCTAGCTAAAATTAACGAGGAATAGATACGCTTGTCATCCACAATAACGAGAATCAAAGTAACGCATTGTGCGAGGCAAGCTGCCTAAGTGTCCTAAAGACATCTCCTGCTAGAGTATCATCACTTCAATTCAGCATGGTGCAAATATCAGTCGTGTGTATGTCAGGGTAGGAAATGTATCATTTGAAAGTCCCCAATTTCAAGTCTTTTCTTAAGATAATTTCAACACTCTTAATGAATGCCTTACTAGTGCCAAGCGCTTCGGAACTTGGCAACGGAGTCGCCGTGTAGCTTACACAAGTAGCTTAGACATAAAAAGTCATGTTGAACAACGCACAGAGATTAAGTCCGTACACTCCACTCATGAGCACAACCAAGAGCCTCCTAAGCATCTCAGTCTTTATTTTATATTTTTCAATTTTGAAAGTGTGACATATATGTAAAATAAGGTATAGTCTCTACTAATACGATATATTATAAAATTATATGTACTGCGTACTTAAGGTTACCTGCCCATAAACTCAAAGTTACTAACTACCATTATTACGAAGAACGTAACAGATGAGGGAAAACGCGCACAGTACACTTCTGTGCAATCCGACGTCTAGCATCTCAGCACCGTTCGTCAAACCTTGCTGTAAAGCGCCAATCAAACCAAACTCGTCGGTAACCACGTTGGCGGTAGTTCTGCCGAGACGTAGCCTGGCAGTATAATCACCAATAATACATTTGTTGAAAGCAGCGCGTTCAGTCATTTTGCTCGTAAATTTCACGAAGACCATAGTTTTGGGAAAACGGAAGCGATTTTTTCAAACGAGCACAGCTGCGGGTTTCACTAATGGGCTGTCAGCTTTCTGCCTGAAATGGAAGACTGGCCAAAGGCGCCGACTCTTACCGCAACAATTTCAATCTGTTAAAGCGTTTTGCACGTGCGATCATACGTGTTTAATCATTTAAGCATACATGGCTTCTAATTTAATGCATTCATTGAGTCCTGCGTCTTTTTCTTTGGAGAGGCCACCCAAAAATGTGTCGTCGCTCTGCCCTTAGTCTCCACCACTAGGAACGACCACTCGTTGATTTTATAGTGGGACAGCACTTTAATACGGCAAACCTTGGGACCGCGAATAGCGGAACAGTCATGCGATCGCGCGCCTCGACAATGCCGCATCTGAGTATGATCCCAAAGATTTTAGCAGGTCAACACATGTTGTATCTAACCCGAACGCTGTACGTGTAACCTACGAAGTTACCATCGTGATATGCAAAAACTCATTGTCATCCATCACTAACCCAGCTTACATATCGCCTCGGACGTGAGATCAGTATAAAGCAATCGGGATTTTGCCAAAATTTGTGAGAAAGGTTGCGAAGACGTTGTGTGCGCAACGGCTTGTGATCTGTATTAATCACACACAGTTAAGAGTGACTAGGTGCATTCTGACGTTAACAAGAGCATACTTGAATCCAAGTTGCTCCATGCAGAAATCGAAGAAGTTTTCACTGCTCCAAGCTCGAGTGCCGCGCGTACGCACGAACAGTACCTAAAAGGAAGAGGCATTTTGCGACATGATAAGTGTTAAAGTGCTAACGGTTAAGTGTATTTGCAGGAGTATCGTATGTGGTCAAGATTCTTGACTACCCGTAAAGTTAGGTGAGCACTAGCAGACTGAGTTAAAAATTCGCCACCTTTTTTGTTGCACACCTCACTATTTTTCGTGTGCAATTCCCGCAGTAGTTTTAAGCGTTTAGATGCGCCTCAATGTTGCAATCGTTATGATCTTACTGCCGCTAGTATCGCCGCAGCTCTATGGATACAATTACGCTTCGATTTAACCTTATCACGCCCTGCAAAATGTCAGCCGAGCTGACGTACTCCGTGCCACCTTGATCGATGGTGCTACATACTGTATTGGGAACGGTCATAGTCACCAGTGTCATTAAGAGTAGCGACACGCACCAAAATCTTGCCCGTGCAACCTATCTTTTTTGCTGATGCGGTAGGTATCACAATAATTGTTGAGTCCAACAATTGTGACGCGAGCTTTAAAGTGTGATCGAAGAAGGACGCTATGTGAGAGCATGAAAGGCGATGGGCCTAATTCATTCTGGGGGAAAACAACTAAAGCGTCGCTGATGTCGTGCGATACCAGCACCAAACATCTGTGCCATCTGTGCACACACCTTTCTCGGATGCGCAATATTAAGAGCCGCGCTCCCGCGCAGAGCCGTTCGACAAACTAGCTTGCGAGGAAGCACCGATCCAAATGAATAGTTAACGCTAGATATATAACGTGGCCTCTGTTGCGACGGTTATTTATTAGGCTGTGCGCTTAGCGAAAGCAACCTCGCGGTGGGAGCCGGTTGTGGTTCCACAAGCGACTGGTGCGGGCCCATCGGAGGTTTTTCATTATCGAACTTTTATAGTTGGTGAGCGCCCACAGGCGTTCTATCATCGCTTCTGATCTTTGAGCCACCTAGAAGGCATATCCCTGCGACAACAATTGACATGAGGTCATCGAGCGTGTTTTGTAAATTCAGAGGCAGTGATACGAGCAACTCGAGTTCCATTCTCAAAAGATACAGATTTTCAGTACTCAGTCGTCAGATTGACTTCATGCGCTAACGAGAGCAGTAAAGCTGCCGTTTATCTTACACAGAAGAATTTTAACATCGCGATGTCGCATCAATAACGCACAGGGATGAGTTTTAGAAGAGGAAAATTAGCATCTTAAGATTCCAGTACTTCTCTAATCTTCATTTTGTAACATACATTTGAACCTAAGAAGCATTTTAATTGTTTTCGGTATATCTAAGACTATGTTCAATTATTCACTCATTTGCACTGCACGACGTTGCGCTAAAGGCCCGCCGTCCTGCTGACCTATTCTTCATCTAGTGTCGTCCTATGCCGTAGCTGTACTTTGGTACCTTACAAAATTTGTTGTTTACTGACACCATAACAAAGTAGGTTCGACGTCACAGTTTGCATCTTTCAGAGACTAACCTAAGCGCATGGCCCGACGGCCCGACAGGAATGATGCGGACCTTGAGTACGCAACAGTCATTAACACGGACGATGATAAAAGAGTTAACTTCGTGGCTGTCGAGTGCAAGGATGTTAAACATGCGATAAAGAAATTGAATTCACGCGGTTAAAGAACCACAACATGGAGTTCTAAAGGATGCTGTCAAAGATTTGTACACACCTTCATCATATACAAGTCATCCATACGGATAACTCAAGACCCTTTACTTTGTCTACAATCCGAAAGACCAACCATTTTTTCGACTTGAACCGACAGCCGAAAAAACAAGATTGTATGCTTTATATACTATCACTTTAATCAGCAAAAAGGAGTCGAACCGAAATCACTAAACATCGACAGTCATCAGAGAGGAAGTTTGAAGTGCGGGGGCTGCGAAACGGAATGAGGGAGCTATAGAGGCTATAAAATAATTAAACTTGAAGAAGCAAGAAGGCTGCAACATATGCTATGAGATCGACAAGCATTTCTATTTGAAGACTACGGCTTCTAGTGATACGCAAAAGAGTTGGAACCAAACATAAGTCTACGGGCCTAGACGAGCTGTTTTTTTTCGCTCGAGGTTGAGATACTCTGCCGTAGGACCTACAGTTTAAACGAAAGTATTCCCCTATCAGCGTATGTTTTCTATGACTAGAGTGTCACAGGAATGATTACTCGTGCACATTAAACTATTGGATTTGTACTTTGAGCGGAAGGAAGAAGTATCAAAGTAATGCAACTCGAAGATGGGAAAAGCTTGAACTCTGTGAGGATAAGAGTACTGAATCTTCGCAGGAGAGATCTGTATAGAATATGGGCTACCAGCCTCGCTTAACATTACGTCGGTAAATATTTTTGATTGTAATACAGATGCATGAAGCATCAACTTAGGTTACACTTTGTTCAAATTCACGTCACTCGTATACTCGTACTGTAAGCTTTCTGCACGATGACTAATCGGCATTCGATAGTACTTGTCGACAGGTACATGACCGAGTTTAGGATGGTACTTTATACGTTGTCCTATATGTCCTCAACACAACGAGACGCTTAAGTATTTAGGTGGTCCTGAGAAAATATGATAGTCAACTATCCGAGTGCCGAAGCGGTCTCGCGCGCCCAATGACGTCCACAATATGCACCTCCAGGATCACCTCAACCAGGCATATGTCAAAGCATAACTTTCTCCCGCAGCGAGGCCACATGTGCTCAATGTCCAACACTTTGTGAACATGAGCGGAGAAGTTATTCTTTGTGGGTAAGATTTGTCGACATGGTCATAAATCGGCCATTCAGTGTCGCGCTGGCGTTTTAAGGCAAGGAGTCCGCGCACTTAAACGAGCACTTACGCGTAGAGGCATACCCATACGATGAAGGTTTGTGCGACAGACGTGTCGAGTTTTTGCACGTAGTAAAATAATCCCGATCCGCCTATCAAAGGAAATAAAAATTCGCGGATATCTTAAAGTGCTCCAACCTCTAATTTTCGGGTTAGCGGTGTACCCTCTTACGATTACAGTAGCGGTAACCACTCTCCTCGGAGATTCTTCATACACATCCGATACCTGCCACGTCATTGGGGCTGGCATGGCTTTTGGCTCTGCTCTCTATTTCTCTGTTTAGTCTATAAGCAGCAACAAAAAATTATGTACTTATAGCCTTCAGTTACCTGAAAATAATTATTATATTGTTGCGTGTGGGATGTTGAACTTCATCATCCATATACGCACCTCACGCCGGTACGCAACCCTTTAGAGGTCGTCGGAGATACGCATTAGCTCAAAGACGTTTAATATTATTTAGTATTCATTCCTAATCATTAATCAAATCTTTCGTCTGGGAAATGTTGAGAATTCAAGACCGCGGTCTAGTCGCTTACAGCCATCCACGAATGGTTCTTGTGTGGGGAAAGACTTCCCGTAAAAAAATGCTTAATGAGCTGAGCCCAATCATGGGCCGGCGAAGGTAAAGAGCACTCACGTGAAGCTTGTACGTGGTAGCTGTGGTTTGATTTAGAGCCAGTCGAATGTACCCGTGCTTGAGGACCTATCTGCTCCCAGAATTTGTTGTGCTTTTCAGGAAACGTTTTCTCGTCTTGAAATACATCTCCGAATTTTGATCGCCAAATTTATCAACACAAATCATTTATAGTGAAAACACCAAAACAAACCTATTGGGATTGTGGTTACAAGTTGAGTGTGGAGACGAATCTTAATCCTTGCAGCTTCCTGAATACAAACACAGCAAATCATGTATATTACAATTTATTGTAACTAACGTGCTACATAGTTAACATTTTTTCGGTTCGAAGTGTTGTAATAGATTCGCAATGAGCTTTGCTTGTTCTTCACGGTCCTTCCTCCGTTCGTCTCGCTCAAACTCGAGCTCCAATTGCCGTCGCTTCGTACGCTGAATCTCAATTTGAAGCTCAAAACTACGCTGTCTTGTCTTTTCCTCTTCTTCTCGAAGTCTTGCCTCATTCATCTTTTCAATGTCAACGACACGAATCTCACCTGAACGCGCAGCAAATACGTGTTGCATCTTTAACAGCTCACCCATCGCTTGCTTTACCGTGAGTAAATCAGGAACCGGCTCTTCTAGTGTCGCAAAAGTTTCTGACGCCTCCGTGACTTGTGGCTCTTGTGTCTCCGATGAATCACCTGGTTGAATTTGTGTCTGCTCGATACCAATAGCTCGTGGCAACATAAAAACCTCGCGTGCCTCGGGTTCTATGTCAAAAGCGTCTGGGGTGGCTTGACGCTTACCAAGTCGCGAGCTACTTCGAGATTCCTCAACGTTCATGTCCTCTTGATGAGAATCAGCTTCATTTACGATGAGTTTGATGTTACTTTTCAAATAATTGTCAATTTCCTTGATCAATTCAGTCATGGTGATACGATACGGACTATCGATATCGCCACATTTCTCAACATTTGCCCTTTCCATCCAAAGTCGGTGATGAGCCACAATCGTATCAAATCGCGCTTTTGCTGTTGTGCCTTTGATAGGTCGCATGTGAAAATCTGGGTGCTGATTTAATCTCTCAGCTAAAACGTCCCAACTCTCTCCAATCGCACCATGTCGAGCTTTGTATGGAGTATCCACTCTTACTTGAATTGCTAGCAAGTAATCCTCTCCGCGACCAAAGCGCATACGTACCTTTTCCTCAACGGTATTCTCAACCGTTGCAATGTGATCATCGCGACGAACTCCTCGCGGCATTTTGAGTTTTTTGCAATTACAAATTTATACCGAGAAATGTTGTGTTTTTTTTAGTGTGGCATAAAATGAAAAGCGCGATCTTAATCACAGGTGCGTCGCGAGGCTTCGGCCGGTACCTTGCGCTCGACTTTGTGAGTCAACTCAAGGCGCAAAGTGTTGATTTGGTACGTAGATAATGAGAGTGGGTATTAGCTGTATCTGACGCATTACTGTATGGATCCAGCACCTATGGGCTCGCGATGAGTCCGGTCTGAAGGAGACGGAGCGCTTGGCCCTAGAAATGTGGGAAAAAGAAGGCTCTGAGGGCAAGTTGCTTTGCTTTTCACAGTCAGTAGACTTAAGCAATTCGGGGGAATACACAAGTAAGGTGGAAGATTTAATGCGACAGCTGGAAAAGCAGAGATACGATCGTGTCTTCCTTGTACACAACGCGGGATCGTTAGGGAAGCTAGGATTAGCACAAGAGGTTATGAGCTCTGCGACAGAGTTGACACCATACTGGGAACTAAACGTCACATCGGTGATGTGGCTTAACAATTGTTTCCTACGTGCCTTTGGAGCGTCAAGGGAGGAACTGAGCAGTCCGACTTTTGCTAGTGACAAGGTCACACAGCTTGTAATTGTTAACATTACGTCGTTGTGTAGCATTAAACCATTTAAGACGCACATGTTATATTGCACGGGCAAAGCGGCGCGCGAGATGCATCACCGAGTGATCGCTACGGAGCAAGCCGCGGGCAACAAGGTGCAGGTGTTACAGTACTCTCCCGGACCGATGGACACAGAAATGCAAAGGACTATTCGTGAATCTCCCAATGTTGACACTGAACTACAAACCAAATTTCGCGAAATGAAGGCCAATGGAGAACTTGTACCAACTGCACAATCGTCATTGCGTTGCGTGAAGCTCGCTATCAACGGAAATTTTGAGTCTGGGGCCCACGTTGACTACTGTGATCATAAAGTATTAAGCCGTTTTGATTCTGCGAAGAACTAGTGTCAGCAGTTGGAAAATCTCTCGATTGATGTTAAATGATACTTTGGCTTAATTTTTCGTTTGCTACGTTTCTGTGCATTTTTATGGTGATAGCAACATTTGGTAACATAATTACTAAAGAAAAAATAATGGATACTTTCTCACACTCTCACGACGCATGATTCCCACAGAAGTACCCATTTTTCTGATACGCACGACGGCTGCAGCTCTCCTGCTTACATCGATTACCACCACCATGTGCCCAACAGAGACCACCTTGTGTCGAAACCTTTTTGCACTCAGGAATCTCACAGATACGACCACCGCCATGTGACCAACAATAACCGTATCTCTTTGCCTTGCGCGTACACGTCTCTATCGCGCAAGATTTAAATCCACCGTGTTGAAAGCATTTATTGTACAGCTTGGCGCGATTTGGACACCCGGAAATTGTGCAACGAGTGCCACCACCATGACGCACACAGCAACCACGAGATACGGCAAAATTTGTACATCCTGCGATGTGGCATATTGGCATGTGTTTCCTTCGGACACGCGCGCAAGTCTTCTTAGAAGAGGTTATCATTGGCCGCATCAATTTATCAGAAGGCTCAAATGTCTGCTTTTCGCACACGACTGACGGTATATCCTTCGCTAGTCGTTCTTCCTCTTCAACGCTAGCGTAAGTAAAGATTTCGCTCGATTTGCATTGCCCAGGCTCTAAACCAAATTTCTTAAACGGTGTAATAGTGGAATCCAAGAGATGCAACGAAGTGGCCGAAGTGCAAACCAATCGCGCGAAGACATTCGATGATAATGGCGATATGGACTGTGCCACGTGAATGCGTTTTGTATCAATCGTGGCGAGTGGATTCAAAAGAAACGAAATGGCAGACTTCCCACACATTTCTAACGGCTTGCACTTTCAAAGTAATTTTAAATCTGACATAGTCAATACCAAGACTTCCAGCGCATGGCGCATCGGCGTCTCATTGGACGCATGTGTATTCTCATCTTAGTTCAATTTGTATGAATTAAATAGGTTGATAAGCTTTTCCTAAGAAGTAGCCAATCACAAGCTTCGTTGGCACGCGTCGGATACCTCGAGTCCAGTTAGTTTTCGCGACTAGTTCGATAATAATACAATTGCTCTAATTAAGGGATAGTCTTACAGAAAGTAAGCCAGTTACAGTGTTTGGTAAAAAATTTGGTTACAACACTTCTCGTTTTTCCATAAGTAATGTCCATAATAACGAAGAATTAGCAGAATTAGCAAGTGTATCATTTGTAGTTAGGCATTAGCCACATTTAAAGATTCATTTGTAATCCTCGTCTACTTTGACGATACCATTTCAAAAGTAGTAAGATGATATTTTCTATGTAACCCAAAAAGTCTATCTCATAATTTCAGACGCAAATATTGTTATTACATTTGTACCCTCCATCACACCCATTTTGATACAGACCAGTGGCGGGGTTGAAGCACTCACCAGCATACTTTGGTCCACGGCAAAAGTTAGTGCCGTTTTCGCAATACTCATTCGTCTCTGTACACTTTTGATAGCAAACAGAAGGAGGGAATGTTGATGGCGGAATTGTCGAGCATTTATTGTTGATGCATTGAAATCCTAAAGCGCAGCCATTTTGATACATAGCTGTAGCAGGATTGTAGCACTCGGTAGCATAGCGAGGTCCACGACACGCGGTGGCTCCAAGTTCGTAGTATGTTCCCGTTGGGCAAGGCGTGTGTATGTTAATCAGATTTGATCCGATAGTGGGGCTCGGTATAGTAGATGGCATTGTCGATGATACAATCGTCGGAGTATCCATTGAATTAATCGTTGGGGAAGTTGTGAAACTCGGATCTTCAATAACACACTCACACATATTATCAAAGCAATCGTAACCTTCTTCACAACCTACTTGGTACTCGCTGATAGTAGCATTAAAGCACAAGCCTTCAAAAGGTGGACCACGACATTCTAAATTCGACCTCGTGCAGTATGTGCCTGTCGGGCACGAGGAGCAGTCGTCAGTTGTGATGGTTAGGACTTGTGCTGCTACGAGATGTATCTTGACCGCGATTTCAAAAGCTAAAATCGAAGAGAATTTCATTTATATCTATTTCTTTTACGAGGCGTCTACAATGATGATCTTGCAGCCTATGCGCAAATCGAGCAATGAACGATTAGAGGCTTGGATCCGTTAAAGTTAAGTAGAACTCGTCGCGGACCTTGTAGCCCACGTCTTCCCATGCTACTGTCAAGTACTTTGCATGACTATCGAACAGTTTCCTACGGTTTGTCCCAAACTGTTATCATTTATTGACAGAGGTAAAAAAAAAGAGACCGAATATATAACCGGTATGTCACGGTAGAAGTGTTCAACATGCCAGCCACAAAATTCGACAACGCAGTACGAATGCACGTCTTACACCACGCCTTACATTGTGCCTTTATTAACAGCATTTTTCTTGATTTAGGAATGTTCTCAGCTTCAGAAAGAATCGCTTGATTGCCTTATCAGTGGGTGAAACAACAGTAGCATTCAAGACACTAACTCATTTATCTTATTGCTTCTTTTTGAACAGAGAATCCCGACAACAAACATATATGTCAGTTATTTTTTGAGCGCTACAAAAAATGCTTAAAGGATCGTCGTGATCGTGAAATTGCCGAGCGCAAAGCGCGTTTTCAATCCCATAAATAAGGACACGGTATACACTTTCAATAATGCTGCGATTTAAAGAGTAGGAAGAACCTTAATCCCTACCTCTTCGTCTGTCTCGATGCCTACCAGATCTAGCACATGTTTCGCTTTTTTCTCCATTCCATCAGCAATTTGATTAATTCCGTCCATTGCAATGCGCTTCCGTTTTACCCAAGCCGTCTGTTCAGAAATCACACAATCAGTCTTACAGGCTGACTATTTCAATTTAATATCTCATTATTCCGTACGTGATACTTGGTAAACTTGCGCTTGAGTGAATCTTTCCTATTTGGTGATACAGCTACTCGATCTGGTTGACCCATAGACTCTACTTTCTTCTCGAGAGTCACAACTGTTTCCTCAAGCTGCATTAACGTAGCATCTAAATCTTTGTTCGAGATTTGTGATGTTATAGTTGACAAAGTCGCTTCAGCAATCTTGAGTTCTTGCTCTAAAGCAGAGCATTCCGTAGAAATCAATTTAATCTGCTCTTCCACATTATGACGATCTTCTTCCGATGGCACGGGCAGAAGATTCTGGTTGACATAATAAATCTTAGCCTTGCCATACGTCTTGCTCACGAGCTTCTCTCTAACACCATCAATTGCATATAAAAATTTCCAACGTCACGACGCAAATGTACAAGTTCATACTTGACCACGAGGTTATCCAACAACTTTGATAACGACGGCTTTGCAATAGCTCGGTGCATATTCTCAAAGACATTGAGCAAACTATACGGTCGATTCGCCTACAAATCGTACAACATTAGCAAAGTCTGCAACAGCTAAGTTCGTCCTATTCTACTACGTTTGACAAATGCATTCGGACCTTGAACATGTAGTCAAGCACAGCTTCTTCAGCATCTTCCGCCTTCATAACCTTTGAATTTGTCGACTTTGTGGTCGAAGAAGCTGGAGATTTTCTTACACCAGAAACAGGTTTTGAAGTCGCCGGGCTTTTGGTTGTATTGTTATCGTGCAATGATTTCTTTGTGGACTTCTTGGGCGATACACGCACTTTCTTGGGCTTCGAAGCCACCTCCTCGTCCGACTCGTCACTAGCTGGATCATCTTCAAAATCTTCTGACTCAGCGAGCTGCTCGTCCTCAGAGTCCTCCGCACCCAGAGAGAAGTCTTCGTCGTCAAAGTCACTCATGCAAACTCAATACTTTTACTTAAAATGCTAGCTTCGATTAAAAAAGTAACCTTTTATTCAATAAGGAAAAAAAAATGCTTAATATTCGTTTTTCATGGCACTCATCCAGCTCGTCTTTTCGACTACGAAGTATCTTCACTACACTGACGCTAACCGCTGAGCTTTTCGCTGGTGTTGTCAATCTTCATTCTAACTACCTCAAAAAAACAATTTTAACTATTTGAAACAATAATGAACGCACACAGCAACTAATGAGCATCGGGCATAAACCGATAAAGTGCAAAACATCTCATTACACTCTTTTGTTGTTGTGCGGTGGTTTATACCTTTGTGACACGTCCAACATGGCGAAAACATCCAAATCCGATTATTTTCTTTCGTAGTATTTGAGTGGCAGTACCGGCAAATTGGTCGTCAATACTGTTAAGTGTAAGAATGTAAACTTTCGAAAAAAAGTCATCAATTTGTTTCTTCCAAAAGGTAGAGCTGTAATGCCAAGCTGCTAAGAAATAATACCTTGGCAAATGAGAACAATGCCTGAATTCGAAATATTTTGACCAACCACAGCCGATGATCGCTTTCTGGTGCCCGAAGATAGTCAAGCAAGGGATTCATTCTTGACCCGTGAATCCCCATAGGGAAACAGAGGCAGTGACTCCCGGTGTCGATGATCGCAAGAGAATAATGGAAATGTCTGGGCATCGCCATTTGATGTACATTTGGACGCAGTCCACGCTGTTTAAAGAACTGCAGCTATTTACCGGAAGGCTTTATGCAACAGGGTTCGTGACACCTTTCACCGAGAATGATTTTGAATAATCCGCGTCAACAAACGTACAGAGTCTGGGATTAAAAGCCGTGTCTAGAAGGTCAACATTACTTCGAATAGTATGTACATACAACCGCTAGAGTTGTATTCAGATTCAAAATCAAGTAGCTGCAATCAGTAATTAATAAACACGTTTTCACATCCAACCTGATAAAAATACGCCTAATGAATCACGTGGGACTGGCTAGTTATGTGTCCTAAAGACCCATTATTACAATCACTTTGGCCTGGTTCACTGTAGTGTATCGTGCACGAGCACGTTATACAGTGTAATACTAATCGAGACCCATTGATCTTCTCATTGATTCCACGGGCACCATTTTGATATGATACACCGATACTAACGTAGACTTGTAAAATCTCATTTTAAGGCTTTCTCCCAATGTGACGGGGTTGTTTTGATCGTGTCCCACGTACCCCCCAATCTACCAGATTTCCCTCATCTGTATCAGTACAAAACTTGCTATTCCATCGTGATCTTAAATCGGGTTTAGCTCTGCGTCAGAGGATTTCTTGAGGTACCAAGAAGCGAGCTCGGAGAGCTTTTCGCTGGTCAAGCTCGGCTTGTGTATTGGCCGGGGCCCCGATTACGTAAACGCCTAACGATAGAGTGATCGCGTCTTTCGCTTCAGTAGCGGGATCCGCCGAGCGTAAGCCGTATTCCCCACGAGGGCTAAGACCGAACGTGGATACGAGCGGGGCAATAGCAATAATATTTTGCGGCGGGTATACATAATACAAGAATCTTGTTCTTTTCATCCTCCTAACCACAATAAGTGCCAGACTGCAGTCAGATTTGCCTCTTTGAAATATGGTACTGTTATTATTGACCAAGTATCGAGTTTTCCGAGGAGATAAATGGAGATGCAACTAGTCCTAGATTGCAATGGCGCCAGGAGTCCCATACTCTATTGGATTTTAAGGTTAGACTATCCTACCTAGCTCTCAAGATACTGTGTTTTACCCCGTTAATTGAGCTTTCGATTCCAGGCTTTACATCGGGGTTGATTCAAGCAAAGCTGGATCACGTTAATATCCTCGTGACTGTCGCTCACAACCGCTTTCGGCTGAAGCGGCATATCCACATCCCAAGGGAGTCGTGTTCAGTCTATACTAACATGTAGTTGGTTTTAGGATGTGTGTGCAAACGGTCCAGTTGACATCGTGTACCGCAATAGGCTACAAATTTAAAAGCTGCTCAAATGCGTGAGGTAGCTCAGCAACAGGTGATGATGAAGGGATACTTCGTCTTCAATCGAAGCGCTTCAGATACAAATGTCTCCTCAGAGCGGGCATGTGGTATAGCTGAGGTAATTTCACGTCGGATGGAACGGGGCTGCCGCGGCTCTTTGCTAAGAAAAAGCTTACTAAGGTCACCGACCGTACGCTCTATACTAATACCATACGAGTGTAGCGGATCACAAACCGCCACCTCCAAGAGTACCCAAATATGTTTTCCTTATTGGCTAGTAAAACCTAATTAATATGCATAACTACTGGCAGTCTCGACAGGAAGCGGCTGCTTGTTACAGTGTAGCCACACCATTGTGTGTACACACCGTCTTGTGTAATCCAAACCTTGGTACGGTCACACCATCTTGTGCCCACCCTGTCAAACTAGGGAACGTTTAAACCCATTTCTCTTTCTCCATCAGAATTGTGAATACCCATAAAATACAATTGACTGTCGCCTTGTACGAAGCTCGCGCGTCAAAGACACTTTAACGTCCCCAAGACCTTCTTCCCGCATTCTCTGCTCAGTGAACCCTGTGTCTATGACAAGCAAAACACCCAGCCTCGCTAGTTCCGAAAGCGCCCGCGGGCAAAGCCCTTCTTCGTCTCCTGCACGCGGTACAACTCCGGGCAGTATGTCTGCGGCTTTAAGAGAAGCACATCTTTAAGCCCTCGGCAACCGGGCGCCACAGCGTCCGTCACGGGCGACAGATTACATCGTCGAGGATTCGAAGGAAGTCGACTACGAGTCGGATACTACCTCCCCAGGGTGCTTGAGCCCTGCCCGAACCTTGAGAACACCGTGTCTGTTTCCCGACCTGTTGACTTCCGGGTCGAGTAATATCATTACCAATCGCCTCGACGAGGCACAAGAGCAGCAGTTGGAGGCTGCACAAAAAGCGGCTCTCATGAGATTGCATCCACGGTTGGTCTGAGACCCTAATGCGGAATACGGCTTCCGGTCGGCGAATCCCGCTATCAACGCGAACGACGCGAACACCAAATCGTTGGGTGCCTGAGTACTCAAAACCCCGGCCACTTCACAAGCCGAGCTTGACCAACTTGGTACTCCAAGAAACCTCAATGGATAGGTACCGCGCTCAACTTTCCGCTTAAAGATTAGGTGCTCCTGTCCTCACAATGCGCGGGATTCCTGTGGTACTTGCCTTTGGCGAAACCGCTACAGATGATGAAGAGCTCTTTGAGCGATGGGTGCAGCAGCGCCTCAAACTTTACACGCTGTCTATCTTACAGATGAGCCACAGGTAAGTGGACGTAAGCGTAGAACGCAATCTGCGTTTCGAGTTTGCCAAACTCAAGGCGCAACGCCGACTTCCTTCGTGTTGTCGCCCTGGGACGTATGGATTAATCCATCACGCCCCCCCGAGCTCTGTGGTCTCTCACACGGGTGAGTCTGCGACCACAGCAGCTTAATACCATAGCTTGAGCTCAGCTCATGTTGCTTCGGCTTCCCCGGCTATTGCCGAGATGCGCTGGGTGTATGATGACGCGGACATCATGATCATTCTGATCATAAGCGTCCACGACGTCCGAGCAGTCTTTCCGAAGTGGCACCTCAAACTCCCACGAGTTCTCGGAGTTTGGGTATCCTCGCTACTTCACATGATACTGGGTTAGACCCTGTCGAGGATGTCGACCCATAAGGCGTTCAACGTGATAGTAGACGCCACCGTTCTCGTTGAGAAAAGTTGGAGGCGAACGATGACGACTTGTTCGATCGCCGTCCGGTTATTCGCGATGCTCTTTAGCACTGGATCACAAGGTCCGTCGCTATCGGGGCTCCGCTCAGCATCACACTGACGTAGCTAACCGGTGTCTAGAAGGCCTCGAGAGCCTAGAACACTTTGTGCACCGTTTGCCGAACGTTGAGGATAATCGCGCTCTGTCGGAGCGGATTCTAGCCGTCAAGCAGACGAATGCGTCACTTTGTGCGACGACAAAGCGCCTGGCGCAGTTGGTTATGGAAATCGTTGCACTCCGTGCTCAAAACTAGTTGCTGGTTCAGCTTCTAGGTTGAGCGCCTGTAGGCACCACCCCGGCGCCAACACTTCTGCGTTCACTTGCACCGGATCCCGGTACGGCTTCGGCAAACCCACATAAAACGCCGGGTGGGTGCGCAATTTTTTCGGGAGGTTTAGCGTATAAACAAGGCCCTACTTAACCACGACCGTAAAAGGTTCGATAAGCCGTCAATGGATCTTCGTCCTAAAGACAGCAGAAACTGCATGTGTAAGAAGATTTTTAGTATTTAAGAAAACCAAGGTTTTCAACATTTCTTCTGCTTCTTCCGTCTGCGTATTTTTTCTGCATGTCTTGGCTTTCCGATATCGCATCGTGAACGTGTCGTAAGGCAATCAGTATGGTGGATAGGAAATCTTCGGATTCTTTACGCTCAGTAAGGGGGCTGACTAGCTAGCCGCTCGGCTATTCTCCCCCCATCAAGCCCTTAGTCAAGTGATGGCGGCGTCATCGGGACGCGAGGATTAACAAGCCCGTTCACTTATAACAGCGTATAGCCGGTAGATGATTGCCCTGTATTGTTCAGAGCAAACTCTAAAAGTGGAGGCATGGCACTCCAGCTCCTCAGTGTCAGAGCAGACGCTGCGAAAGACGTCTTCAGTGACGCATATCACGTGCTGTTGGCATAGTCAACTTGATGTCCAACAATTTGAAGATTGCCGACCAGATCTTTCCAGTGATATGTCGGTCTATGTCAGAGACAATTGACTTTGGGGGTCCATGTTGTCGAAAGACACGATTCTTAAACAGCATCGCTGTACCGACACCGTCGATAGTATCCGGGACCGCCGTTAGATGAACCGTCTTGCTCAAACGGTCGACAAAGAGCACCACACCCGTGTTATTCGCCGAGTCCTTTGGCAGGCCAAACGCAATGTCCATACCCAAGGACAGCCAA